AGAATTATGCTTGTGTCTAAGCCAAGTGTGTGTATATATACTATACACGCTGCTCGTGTGTGAGTTGTTGCCTGTTCTTGTTGTCGTGTCGTATCGCATGTTTTGTCATACGAAGTGGCTATGCAAAGACAAACAAGCCGGAAAAACAACAACAATAAAAACAACAAGGACAAGCAGGACGCTGCACAAAAATGTTGTCAATCAAGGTTGAAGATAACAAGAGACAAAGGCAGCAAACAGGATGCTAAGCCCTTAAATTGCCTTAGACAGCCGGGAAATGTGTCTTGATTATAACCCCGTGAGGGCGGCGTTATATCCCGAAACAAATTAAGTGGAACCAGAAAATTCCACATGCACAAACTATTTCCCATTGAGGTTGCACGGCTTTATTTTTCATAGCATACTTTTGCGGGCGAGGTTTTGGGAACTTTAGGGTAACGATAAAAGTTCGCTGTCAGAAGTTGACCTAGAATATTGTAGGTATGTAGAAAAATACTTCTCAACAACAGACAAATATTTTTTAAGTCTTTTGGAAAAATAACATTTTCCAGCCATAAATTGAAAATAATTCATTAATGATGAGCCTATTAATCCTATTTTTATTGATTGTACATCTATATTTAATTGGCAAAGTTTGCTGGCATTTTTCTATTTGATGTGAGGAATTCCAGCAAATCCGTTAATTTCCTCCTTGACAATAAAAACACAATTTTTCATTTGGCGAAAAAAAAACTTGAAAAATGACGAGCAATTTATGCACTCGTAAATCACTTAAATCCAATTAATGGGGTCAACTCCTGCGAAGAATATGATCAACTCTGCGGGAAAGTGTTGGAGCAGACTTTCATTGTGTTTCCAATTTGTTGGCTCGCATTTTCCTTCACTTCTTCGGGGGTAATCATGCGAGCAATTAAGCCCCTCTCGATTGACGCTAATTAATGAACAGCATTAAAAATTATTATGTGTGAAGCAAGGAAGCGGCGAAAATATGACAGCCTTTACAGGAGACAGCCACGCCCACAGGCTACCAAACGCCCATCGGCCCATCCGCCGCCCATCCACATACACAATTTCAATTTTCGTGCCGTGTAATTTGCGTGGATAATTTATATGCACGGCAGGCGTATATAGAAGACGCTCCCCCCCCAAAACTCTTATCCCCCAGCCGGCGATATTGTTCCTGGTGCGAGATGAAATAAATTTTGCAGCATCATTTAAGCTTAATTAAGACATCCCAGCCGCAGGCGATGATGGCCAAGAGAGCAGCGAGCAAGGCGGCCACAAAAGCCTCCCAATGCACCGTGTTCCACATAAATAAATGAGTGACAGCCTGCTCGAGTGGTTCATGGGTTCAGTGGTGCGATGGTGCGGTGTTTCGGTGGTTCCAAGGTTCAGCGGTTCAGGGTTGATTGGCTGAGTGCTGGCCGCGTGCATATTCGAGGGCCAAACGTTGCGATGCCCATTTGATTTCCAGCCAACTCACGATTCCACGCATTAAATCGCTTAGACAATGTCAAAAGGCATCATTACTCAAGGAGCCGCTGGCAGCCACGTTCGAGTCCCGTCCAATTGCCGTCGTCATCTTAAATGAGTGGTGCGATAAAGCAGTCAATAGACTGAAATGTGAGAAAGGAGTCTGAAAATGAAGGGGTCGACTAAAAGTTACCTCACAGGACTCACGGAAAAGTTAAAAGCATCTACACAACATTTTTCAATTTGAAGCTGCAAGTATGAGCTGCAAATAAGTTCTTAATTTTTTTTTGATAGTAACGAAAATAACATAAAAATAGTTGAAATCAAATTTAATTAAATAAAATAACTAATAATTGGAAACTTAATTAAATATGATTTTTAATTAAATCCAGACAATTTTGTAAAAGATTCATTCATTCATAATGAAGAATCTCATTCATTCATAGTGAAGAATCTCAAATGTATTTGAAAATTAAAAAAAAAAAAATAAACCCTGAAAAACTATAAACACCAGGTAAAGATAAAGTGAAACTCCGAGGAAGTAGAAAAAGTAGACTCAAACAGAGAAGAAGAACTCCGAGTAACTCGATTCCCGGCCAATGTTGATTTTTAATTACCGCGAGGGCAACGGAATGTAACGATATTTACTATGAAATTCAATGCCATTAAACACAATTAAGTGCGTTGGGATCCCCCATCGTGCCAAATTACAACCCCAACATAAGCAGGCAATTTGGGGATGGCTAAATTCATTGGGCCAACGGTTCAAAGTGTTGCACATTACGCATCATTTCAGCCGACTCTCGGGACCCTCGCGGCCCTTTTCGCCATATTCCTCGTGTCTCTACCGAAAAATGGAAATGGAAAAAAAGTGCCGAAACAAAAGCGTGAAAATTGCAAAAGTTTTCTTAATTGCTCCACGCGGCTCGTCAACGTTGTCGAAAATTAAGGGCAAATATGCAAAGTCATTGTGTGAGTGTGGGTGAAGTGAACGAACAGAGAAGGGGAAACGAAGTGGGTGGTTGGGTAGTTGGGTGGTTGGGGGGTTGATAGGTGGTGGCAGCTGACTGGTGGAACGGCATAGCCCTCGTAATGATTAAACCAGCCCCAGTCCACACGCACATGGGGTAAAAAAGCGGGGAAAACTCACTCGACTCGCACCCACTTGCACACATGCCGCTTTCCCATCGCCTCAAATGAGGAAAATTCCGCGGTGGCAATTGAATTCGAATTTACCGTTCCTTAAAGCCCATCCGCCGAGGCTTTAATTGGAATAAACTGTATAATTTTATTAACACGTTAAATAAATTTTACTTAGGCTTTAAGTTGTTTAATAAATTCAAAGATTATTAAATTAGAAGCTAAGCTAAAGGAATAGTAACTTTTACTTTACGAACTTGGTTTGAATTTCAATTGAGATTGAACAAATTGAATAGTTTATGAGTTCAAATAATCATCTAATGCGAAATTATGCTCCTAGTTAGAAATTTGAAATCTAATTGCATTTAACGTTTCCTGCTGTTGTTGTTGCATCTCTTGGGGTTTGAAGAGCCCACTCGCTTTTCCTCTAATGTGGGATCATCGGATTGTAACTCCCCCAAAGCGGTTTGCAACGACCACCGCATAATGGGTTGTCTTATAGCTGCGTTCTGGGAACAAGAGCGGCATTAACATAAGTGTAGTTAACAAACCACTAAGCTAAGCAGTGACGAATGAACATGTCCTGCCATTCGAAGGATACAGGATGCAGCCAGCCAGACAGGCAGTTAGACAGGAGGAGCGTTTGCCAGCTGGATGAGTGGTGGCTGTGGTGCAGCAGATGCCGATTGCAGAGGAAGTGCTTAAATTAAATGCCACATTTACTCAAATTTACTCACATTAAGCATATCGAGCTTGCCACGCCCTGAAATGCAAGGGAAAGCATTCAGCAGTTTTCCCAGCTGCTTTTTGTTTAATGAAGCTGAAGTTGCGGCTGCGAATTTGTGCATTCATAAACACGGAAAAATAAGGGAATATTGAAATATAACAGCAATAGTTAATAATGATATTAGTAGAAAAATATATTTAAAAACTTTCACTAAACTTTTCCGAAGGTGAAGAAAGGTTGTATTTTTTAAGCTAAGGCTTAATAAAAAAAATATTTTTCCTCATAATCAAACATAGATTTATTTAATTAAAAATAATTATATATTGTCCCTTACCAATTTGTTTGTATATTTCTTTTTGTGTGTGGAACAAACGCGTGCATGTGGAAAAACAGTTTTCGAATGAATGCAAGTTTTAATCCTTGAAATATGATTTGAGTGCAAATATTTTGCATAACCATGAGCTCGACAGTGAAAAGGGTTGGCCGCAGAAAAAGAAAGGAAGACTTGCGGTTGCCATTTGTGTGTGTGTGTTAGTTTTTGCATACATGTGAGCAGTGACACAATTCTGTTTGCAACATGTGTGTGTGCTGGTGTGTGTGCACTTGTACTTGCCAACCGCAAACACTTCACTCGCTTGAAGGTTGCCCCCTTTCTCCGTTCTCATTTCTCCCCTTTCTCTTCTCATTTCTCCGTTCGCCTTAACCTTTTTCCACCGCTCACAACGAAGAGCAGGAACGAAAGCTGCAGCCTCAGTTGTTCGGAGCACAGTGTTTTCAGATCTGGCGAGAATGATACATTATATATTTAAACAACATACCTGACATCCTATAATTAATACACATAGAAAATATGCAGTGCAATATATTGCTCTTAAACTGTTTAAACTAATCTAAACCTTTGAAATGTAGTTTGGAATCTTAATTTTATAAAAAATAGATGAATGTTGATTGAAAATAAACTGGTAATACGATTTTAAGTAACCACTTTTATCAAAACATATAAATCAATATTTATAATAAGTCATGTCTTACCAAGCTCAACAAAAATTTGTTTGCAATACATACAACTCATATTATTATTTTACATAAAAAGAATTTTAAGATTTTTAAAAAATTCGAAAATCAAAAAATTTATTTTTTTGTTTAATGTATAAGAAGTGCTAGGTAGTTTTTAACACTGCTGTCTGGCTTCAAAAATGCACTTGGTAGTCATCGTTCGAAGTTCGACAGAAGGCCTAATATTGTTGGCTGGGACTAAATGGAGCCACCTTTTGACCGCAGAACCCGGCAACAGAGCACTTTTAATGAGCAAAGTTTGGGCGGTACTCGAACCCCTGACAACTGCAGCCAAAGAGTGTTACTGAGGATGTTGAGGGTTAATGGGGGTTATGGGGGCTATGGGGCGGATGCGAGTCACTGAATGAATGTAAATGTCATTTTGTGTGCGACTGACATGCTACACAAATTTCTTGCCAACAGCTGCACTTTGGGTTTTTAATATTTTCGTGGTGAACCGCACAGAGATAAAAGGTTCGCATTTGCATACGAGTGCATGTGAGCCGAGGACTTGGGTGCATTTGTGTCTATTTGCAGCTCCTGACTTTTTCACACCGAAATTCACATCTCGCCTCCCCGTTTTTTTTTCCTCTGCCATTTTCAGACATGACAAACGGCGGTGTGCAGGGACCCATCGAGGGCTACAACTCGCTGGACGACCTGCTGACAACCACTCCGACTCCTGGACAGGCCGCCCTGCTCCTGCCGACCGCGCCCACCGCCGCCTACACGCACCCCAAGTGGATGGAGCCCTACTTCGATCCCTCGACGCCGCGCAACGTCACCGCCCTGATGGGCAAGTCCGCCTATCTCAGCTGCCGTGTGCGCAATTTGGCCAACAAAACGGTGAGTTTTGGCCTAAAGATGGCACACTTCTAGAAATAGTAACAAGGAAGAGAACAGACTTTTCTAAAAGGAAGGGTTTTTCCAAAAATTAAGAATCAAGAGCTTTTCTATGTTAACAAAACAATAAAAGGATTACGACTTTTTTCCTTTATTGTAAAATATTACTAATTAAAAGACCGATTTCTTTATTTAATAGTTTTAAGGCATATTTTTCTTGGGATTTTATATTTAATTTGCACTCCAAACTAAAATATTTACAAACTCAATATATTGTTTTTAAAATAAAATATTTGGCTTAATTTAACTGGTGAAGTGTGACTTAAATTAATTACCATTTTATTCTTTTTGAACAAATCTGGTTCTTGCAGCTTTTGATCCATATTTTTTTTGTAAACTTTAAACCAATCGAACTTATTTTCAGTGTCAGTCTTGGGCTATCTTTTTTCGAGCGGCTTTTTTCGGGGTTAACAGCGTAGTCGTGTCGAAAAGTTTGTTGTCGTGCGTGACGACAACGAGTCGCTTGGCCATTAAAGTTTGCGCCAACTTTCGGTCTTTTGGTTATTCTCCATGCGCGGAATAATTTTTATTTTTTGAGGCCGCCTCTTGCGCTGATTTCTTGGCTGATTTCCTAACCTGGTCGTCGACGCGTAGACTAAATTGTAATTCCCCTAGCATGACAGCGAAATTTTTAATTAGTTCTTTAACCTCGTGGCCCGCCCCTTTTGTTTGCGTTTTGCGGTAAGGCGACTTTCAAGTTGGCTCCTAGTTGTTTTTTGTCTTGTGGAAATTTAGCAATTTCATTTTTCCACCCCTCATACTGTTTTTTTTTTTTGCTGCTGTTGTTTTGCAATTGTTTCCTTTGTTTATCTGCTTTAATTGCTCCCAACCCCTCGTATTTTTTGCGGGGTCACAAGACAAAGGTCGGCCGTAGGCAACCTGCTGCTCCTAAGGCTTAATCTCCAGCGTTTCCTGCTGTCACAGGCAGAAGGAATAAAAATTTCCAGATAAATTCATGTGTTTTGTAAGCGTTTTGTAGCATTTAATTAGAGGAAGTCGGGGTAGGCTTCCTTTAAAATGTGCTTAATGAAAGGTATATAATTGTCAAAGGTTATGGCGAAGGGGATCAACTTTTTTATATGCCCGACAGATAGGTTTATGAATAATTAGGCAGAGGGGCGTGTGGCAGGCGATTAATGGCCCCCGGAGAGATGCTTTATGTGCCCCGAAAATTTGCATATAGATGCCCGCCAATTCTCATTTTCCCTTTTTCGCCGCGGGAGGGGAAAGTGCGATGCCAAAAACCAACAAACTTTCAACACGCTCGCGAGCACTTGACACAAATGCGCCACCAGGAAGTGGATCCTGCTGGCAGCTAGTAGTGAAATGGAGATGCGAATGCGAATGCGGATGCGGATGCGAATAGCGTTGCAGGATGCCGTTAGCAGGCGCAACATTTAATTTCTTGCCAAACAAAAGAGGGACGAGTGGCAGTCCCAGAAAACTCAACCACGTTGGCTAACACATACATCAACTGTTCAACCTCAAGTGGGCGCGCCTTTTTGAGTTCCCAGCCCTGCCACGCCCACCCGCTTTCAGCCCCCCGCTGCAGCACTCTCAATTGCATTTGAGCGCGAAATTATTTAAACAATTTCATGAAATTGCACTCGCCGCACGCGTCAACAGCACTTGGCTCACAGTCCGAGGTGCAGGGAGCCAAAAGTTGCACTGCCGCCACAGAAACACCACCCTGCGCAACCGTGCACCACCCTGCCCCACTATTCACCCCCCCAACCCCCCCCCATCCTGCCACATTGCGGAGCTGCACCACCTAGAACCACTTTGCACCACCCCGGTAGCTGAATGGCTGCCTCCACCGGGAACGACTTGCAACTTGAAGCGAAATGTCGAGCTGTTGTTGCTGTTGCGGTTGTACAGAGAGAAAAATAAGCCACTAAACCACTTTTAATAACAATCAAAAAGGTAGTGCAAAAAAGTTTAATTTATCTCGGCTTTAACAAAATGAATTTGCTGTCTAACTGTATTTTCAATTATATTTGCACAGGTTATTTTTGACAGCTAAATTGATATGCTTGTCGTCAAAAAAGTGCGGGCTGGTATTCTTTAATTTTTTGTTAAGTTATAAACAACTTTTTACAAGGTAACTTCCCATCAGATAAATGCATTAGTTTACATAGAATTAAATTAAAAAAACACTATCAAAAAATTGAATAATAACTTTGTTTGTTATTCTTTTTTAGGTTTATTTAAAAGGATATGGCTGATAATAAAATGATAATTTTTTCTTAAATCAAAACTAACTTAAACTGTTCTATCATAGATAAAAATGCCTGCTCGTCTTTTTATGGAGTGTTATTAACAAATGAACAGTAAAATAAGAGGAACTTGAATTGGAAAATTCTACCATTTTCAGTATGTTCCACACCAGTTGATGGGAAACTTTCATATTGGATTGCTTCTTTTTTCCCTCTGCACTTGCTGTTCATATGGCAGGGACCCTCCTGCCAATACGAGACCGCCCACTCAGGGACACAAAGGTTTGGGGGTTTGGGGCTTGGGGGCGTGGCTCCATTACAGCACCGCATGCAGCACAGCGTGCACTTGTTAATTACGCTTTAATTTGTTGCGTAAAATGTTTGTTTAATGGCGGCGATGTCGTTGCGAATGTGCGAGAGTTGTCAAAAGTGCGAGTGCGCCATGTTTTTCTCACTTTTATGCACTCTCGTTGCACTTGCACAGGAACCACCGAACCTAAAACAGGACCCATTCGGCAGGATAACCCCGTGCGATCCTTGCAGCCCGAAAACGCCATTGTTGAAAACGCGGCCCTCGAAAGTATGCAACAACATTGCGTATAATTAAACGCACGCATCATTCTGGGTACATTCTTTTCACTGGGAGAAAGTGTCTGTGCGGCTGCATGTGGGTACTTGGCTGTCAAGTGCGATAATTTTGCATTTACATTCGACTTAATAAGTTTACATAAGCCGCCTGCCAGCTTACAAAGTTATCTCTGTGCACCGCAAACTACTTAAAAAGTTTGTGATAATTAAGCAAAGCCAAAGCAGCTCGAGCACGACCAGCATCAGCAAAAGCAGCAGTGGCTTCTCTTCTTCAGATACCGCTGAGATTCGCCAAAGTCAAGCCGGGATTTTCCCACTCGTTTTCCCCTGAGTCGAAAATCTGAAGCAATGCGTCACACGTTGCTCATACGTCACGTACGCCCGAGCCGAAAAGATGCAAAACTTTTTATCGCCCACCCTTTTGTTGAACACCGCGCTTTTGGCTCCTTCTATCTGGGCGTTTTATTCGATTTTGATGGCTTCGCCCCGGCAATTCGTTTTCAATTGCTGCATTTTTAATGGGCCAGCCGTTCGCTCGAGGAGCAGACAAATGGCGCGATTTTACGAGTCCCAAAATAATGGTATCGATTCCGGTGCAACTCGCCTAATTGTATTAGTCTCGAAAAGTTCAAGCACTGTTCACAAAGTTAAAAGTTTTTTTAAAGGACAGTACGCAGTCACGACTAAATGTTTCCCAACTCATGCAACCTACTGTAATCCAAAGAACCTTAACTTTCTATTCAATTTTTAAACCCATGCAGAGGGTATTATAATTTTAGTCAGAAACTTCTAACGCACTCGAAGTCCCATAACTTTTCTTAATGATGTCAGATTTTGGATTGCTATACCTCAAAATGATTGTGACACGGCCCCTTAAGAAACTGTATCATTAGTTTTGTTTCGATTTTTTTGTCAATTTTTTTCTCATTATTATGATGATATTGACCCCTGTCAAAAATCCGAAAAATTGTTTAATTATTTTTTTTATTTTAGAAAATTGTTATTTATAAGCAAAAATATACATAATTCAATAAAAAATTAGCTTTTAAATTTTTTAATAAATCGTAGACTGACTCTGCACATAAATCTGGCAAATTCCGTGACTGACCTCTCCTAAAACAAAACGAGGTCTCCATTAAGTTGATTACCAATTTGAGGACCACCGGAGAGCAATCCTTTTGATTTACCCTCTGCAGCACTACAAATATTTGCCATTGCTCTGGAATTTTGCAGGTGTCCTGGATCCGGCATCGCGATATCCACATACTAACGGTCGGCTCGTACACCTACACCTCGGACCAGCGGTTCCAGGCCACCCATCACCAGGACACCGAGGACTGGACCCTCCAGATAAAGTGGGCACAAAAGCGGGACGCGGGAATGTACGAGTGCCAGATATCGACGCAGCCGGTCCGCAGCTATTTCGTTCGCCTGAATGTCGTTGGTGAGTTGAGGGAGGGGAATTCGGAGGGGGACATGGGTCCTTGGATCAGGACTCCGATGCCGATTCGGTTTCGGACCCGGGCTTCATAAAAAATCCACCATTTGTCGTCACAAATAACAAAGGGCACTCGCCGGCCAGCGGCTGATGACAAAAAAAAAAAAATAAAATAAAAAAAAAATTATAGAGAAAAAACGAAGTTGTTGAACAAATAAATTACATACAGCAAACGAGTGAGCAACACGCACGGAGAACGAAAGCCAATGTCGATGGAGCTTGGAGGACTTGCTTTTTATACGACAATAATTCCATTTTATCTCGTACTTTATTATTCTACAGTGCCAGCCAACGGACACCGACCACCTTTCACCGTCTCCTATTTCCTCTATTTTTTTTTTTGACAGCAATTTTTTCATGCACTTACTTTTCCTCGCCTTTCTCTATCTTTCTCGGTGTCTCCAGTGCCAACGGCCACCATCCTGGGAGGTCCTGACCTTCACGTTGATAAAGGCAGCACCATAAATCTCACTTGCACTGTAAAGTTCAGCCCCGAACCGCCGGCCTACATCTTTTGGTATCACCACGAGGAGGTAATTAAAGCTTATTCTTCTTGTATTCCATTCCCAGCGAAGTGCCTACTCATTTTTTGCTGCTTGGTGAATAGAGGAAAAAACATGGCTAGTCGATTTTTTGGTTGGGAAATAAGTTTTAAATATCATCGCAAACTTTACTCTGAACCAACTTTAAAAATAAATTTGTTGTTCGCCTATTTATCTTTCTATAAGATAATACTTTTACTGAAATTATACCAATTCAAATTTTACTATTTTATTGTAAAAGTATCATGTAATCGATTTAATAAGAGGATGACAACTTAATCTTTATTGTTATCATTTTCTTAAGTATTAAAAAAAATGGTCGAAAATAAAATAATATTTTGTTAACATTATACAAATTCATATTATTTCCTTTTATTCAATAGTTTTCAAAATAAAAGTTCAGAAGTACGTTTGAAAGACACTAAAATCGCGCCATCAATTCAATTCAAACCGATATTAATTCAATATATTTTTTAACCACCCAAATTCAGTGTCTTAAAACTCCAAATTTTTCTGACACCCCGAATCACTGCTAATTTGTTCAGTAAGAAGCAGCTTTAACCACCCTAATTGCCCTCATCAGCAGTTTTTTATTCGCTTAACAATGACATGTGTCATTTCCAACTTGGGAACGCTGGATCTGCAATCTCGTCAAAAACTTGAATTCCCCCAAGCGAAGTTCGTTGCTCATACGCCACCGGGCCACCAGGAAAGTTGTCCTTCCCCTTGGCCTTCCGCTGACACTTCCTCGCCACTTCCTTGCCACATCCTTTCCCGATCCTTGACGAGACCCTCATCAGATTCGGGCACCCTTCGCCCCAGCCAACGTTATTTAAACGTCAGCTGTTGTTATTTTAATGAGTGAATCAACGCGCCCGGTTATCCTGCGTCCTTCACACATGCAAATACAAATGGCGAGCGAAGGATAACTGGGTCAATGGCGTTATGTTTAAATTACCGCTGATGACAAAAAGGGCGAAGGTAAGAGGTAAAAACGGTAGAAGGAATAAGATAAAAGGCAGGACTTGTCGGATCGACTTTGGTCTCATCCGCTGCTCAGTTGTCCTTGCGCTTCTGCCAATTAGCTCTGTTGTCTTAGCCAAGTTAAGCAGCATCCACTGCTGGCTAATTGCAGAGTGCTAAATCCGCAACAGTTGCAGGCTAATTGCAATGCAAAAGCCAAACAAAATATCAACAAAAAAGCGCTTGAAAAAGAGACGATGTTAAATACGCTGCACACACACACACACACACACAAATCCTGCTGCTCACTTCTTGCTCGGCCACTTGGCGAATTTTAATGTATTCCTGGAATTTTCTAATTAAAATCCTTGCCACTACAGGTACAGTAGTATGTGTGTGTGTGTGTAAGCAAGAGTGGCCGCAGGAACCTTAACGCGTCCTTGCTGCAGGCTTTTGCCAAGTCCTGCGCTGTCCTGTCCCTTCTACACATTTTCCCGAGCTTCGTGCTTCGTGCACCGTGCACACGGATTATTTACGATCCATGCAAATTTGCTGTTAATTAGTTTAATGGATGGATAAATCCAGTTGATGCACTTCCACCGCGGCTGAAATGCACGCAGCACTTTTTGCCCCGCACTTCCGCTCGCTAATTGTAATTAACGTGTTGCATATTTTCGCCTTTTTTCCCACCTGAGGTCGAGTCCTTGACAGGACGAGCGGCTGGCATATGTGGCCAGCTTGCCGGAAGGATACCGGCTAATTCCTGTAAATTACTACCAGTTTTCGTTACCCTGTTTTCGCCTTGCTGCCAAGTTCTTAGTCCTCTTTCAATATCCAAGTGGAATGTTAAATTTTTCGTACTTTTTGTAAAATCCTGTGCCTTCGGTTATTTTATGTAGTACGGATTTTTACGACTCCGTGGTTTGTTTGCTTTTTATGCTGGAAATATGTGGGCGATTATTGAGTTGGCGAGTGCCACATAAATCGGATATATGCGCATTTTCAATGAGCTACAAACATTTTACACAAATATTTTATTTACTTTTCGTTGCCATTGTTCGCCCGTGTTATTATTGCCTTTTGTGTCTTTTGTATCGTATTTTACCCACAATCCTATCCAATCCCTCCCCCATCCGATTTACCAGATTGAAGAAGTCAGGAACAGCTGCAGTTGTCATGAAAATTGCAAGCGGCACGCCATGAATTTTTAAACCCAGAGACTGGCAGAATGTTTTTTCAATTTATCAAATGACAAACTGCAGATTCGCATTTATTCCGAATCGCTGATGCTCTTCCGCCTCCCTTCCCTCGGCCACGCCCCCATCCTCACGCTCATTAACTAATTTGTGCCGAGGCCAGAGAAATATTATAATACAAATATGAAATTTATGCCGGAGTCAGCAATAATGTTGCCAGGATATCGTGTGCCACCGACTGATAGGCAAACTTTTCACTTGCCAAAAGTTTATGCGACAAACTTTGTGTCGTTTTCATTGTTTTCATGACTGATATCCAGTATTTAAGGGGTATACTTATATACTATATATATGTGGCGTAGAAATTAAAGAAATTATGAATATTTAAGGAAACATTATAGCTACAACTTGTTCGTTATATATTTAATATTATTGGCTTTAAATTAAATTTATATAAATGGCGAAAAATACTCTTAACTAATTAATTCATTCTGAAAATGTTTTATAATTAAATAAATAATTTATTTATCCATGTAATGTAAAGTAAAGTAATGAATTAATCATGACCTAGGTTTTTTTACATTTCTGTCAGAAGTGGCTTTTATTTCCTATTGGCAAATTCGGTAGTTGTTTAATCGACACATTTCCATAATCGGTATCGATGGATTCGTTCTGCCCAATTTCCTGCTGTACTTTCTGATGTCTATATCAACTTAGCCATCCTCATCATTATCAGTGAGGCTAACTTTTCTTTCATTCTTCAAACTATCGCAAATGCCGTCGATTAGTTGGGATTAGATGGCAAATTATGCGCCAGACAGTTGGCCCGAGGTCTTTGGCCAAGGGTTGTGGGCCGAGTCATTTCCGCCCTTGTTGTTTTCAGCACTTTTTTTTGCTTCGTTGTTGGCCAAAGTCTTTGCCCTGTCAGCGGCATTATGTGTTAATATCAATTCTCTGTCAGCTCTGTGCTATATCGTGAACTTTGCCCCCGCCGGCCTCGTTGTATCGGCAAATTATTCCGGTATTTGTTTTTGTCAGCCGAAGGAAGCGACTTAATATGCAGTCAGCTGCTGTTAGAGGCAGTCCTCGACAGGTCCTGCCATCCTGCAGAAATCGATAATCGAGTCGAGGCTCTGATGGCTGCCAGAAAGTAATAACCATAATGAGGAGGAGCCTTAAATCGGCCTGATTTGCATCGAATTTCACGCGATCTTTGATGTCAAGAGTTGACTTTAATCACGGCCCACACATACTCATCGAATTCCAATTAAAATCATCATTTCGAGAACTGTCAGTCAAGGGCAGCTGTTGCCAAGTCACGTGTATTCGTATTCGTATTCGGTGACACCTTTAATTATTTTGCAATTCAAGTGTACATGTTACACGTTAATGATGGCGGGCTGAGGAAAATCAAAGAAAAATCAGGCTGTAATTTCCACTAATTTACTTAATGTTCCAGGTATTCTGTTACGTTTTAGGGTGGGGTCGAAAATTTCATTCGGACCAACAGCCGTCGCAACAAGAAATCTGCTGTTTGTGTCCCTCATTGTTTTGGCATTAATGTGCGAGAAGAAAGGGAAAGGGAGAGATGCCTGGTTTTATAAACGAAATGTACTCACGATTTGCCCTCCTCCATTTGCAGGTCATTAATTATGATTCATCAAGAGGCGGTGTGTCGGTAATTACCGAAAAGGGCGATGTGACAACCTCGTTTCTGCTCATACAGAATGCAGATCTGGCCGATTCCGGCAAATACTCCTGTGCGCCCTCCAATGCAGATGTGGCCAGTGTGCGTGTGCATGTCCTAAATGGTAAGTACCCCGCATCGTAATTCCCATTCCAATCCCCCTCAGTTCCCCCCAAATTCCCAAAAACAGCCCAAATGGAGGCTCCGCAAATTGTTGCCGTCCTCTGGGCAAATACTCGAATGGTCCGCCCATGAAACGCTATTTGTAGGAGGACGCTTACATTAACTGACAAACGAACCCCACTGAAATCTAGTGCGATGCCACTTTGTTTTCTTTGTTGCGCTTCAAGCCTCGATGCACACGGAAAAACGTTGATACTATTGATGCTCAAAGATACAAATTGCAGATCCAATTTGCATATAGTTTTCTTAAAAGAATGCATAGATTGCCTGTTTGGTGACACTTGAAAAATGATTCATTCAAAACCCGAATATGAGTTGTAAATTGTCCAGAAGTTGTTTTACTTCTGTTAAATATTTTGGGAGATATTAAAAGCTTGTTGAAAAAGAATAACTATTTTTTTTTTTAGATTACAAGCAATAATTCAAATTCTACTGAATACAATAAAACTTTATTGAAATTGATATAAAAAATTGAAAAAAAATATATGAAAATTATACATTTTACTTATTCTATAGAAATCCTATAAAAATTGATTTTGTGCTGTGTGGCAAATTTGAAAGGTCCTGGCGGCGTCGCTTTTGCATGTGAATACATGTATCCGTGACAGGGCGTTCCCCAGCGGTACGTTTTATGAAGCCAAATGGACTTGTCCCAGCCCCAGTGCTATTCTATTCCGAGGCAGATCCTCCAGTGGAGAGGAAACCACCGAACTCTGACCCCCACTGAACCACTGAACCACTGACCGCCTTGACCCACTGAAAAGCGAACAGAGACCGGCTTCCGATTGCAATTTCGGCTCATTTCCGCCTGCATGCAGGATGCCCGTGACTCTTTCACAATTGACCGGGTCCTTAATAAATTGTGCAGGAACTTAGTTCGCTTGATTTCCACCCGGACCGCAGAAGTGCAGCGATCCAACCAGTCCGCCGCTCACAGTTTCCAGTTGCCATTCGCCGTTCGCCATTTGGAAATGGCCCAATTTCGGTTTGAAGTTTTTGATGTGGCCCACGGGGGCCGCTTTGCTGCGTTGGATGTTGATGTTTTGTAGCGGGTCCATTTGCAGCACATAATCGCATCAATTATGAGCAAATTAATTAGCACACTGCGGTTAATTGCAGTTAAGTGAGTGCCAGACAGAGTTTCCCTAGCTTCCCAGTTTCCCCAGCTTCCCGACTTCCGAGGGTTTTCCAGCTTCGCGGCGAAAGGATTTCCACCGCCGACAAAGACGGATGCGGGTGACATTTACAAATTGCGAAAGGGACTCCTCGCCCGGGCGAAGGGATTGTTGCAATTTGCCAGCATAATCGTTGTCGATCGTCGTGGATTTGACACAGTTAAAATAAATTACGTAATTGTAGAGGCCAGAGACAGGGGAAAAACAAGGGGGCGGCGAACGGGGGAAAACTCCCTGCGACAATGACAACGAACGCTATAGAATTTGAACTTTTGGGTGGGGAAAAAGGCGGGAAAAATGAGGAGCAGCGCTGGTTGGGTCGACAGGAAAAGGAAATGAAGGGGGCACGTTTTTCAATCATGCTAACAGCACCTTGGTGACCCTAACCACCCAACAATCCAACCAGACATCCACCCAACCACCCAACCACCCACCGCTTGCCGCAAATGGACCGCAAATGGTAACGTGCGGAAATCCATGCTGTTGCCATTGTAAACGTTTGCCAGCCATTATGCATGAATGCATAGAAATAGAAAACAGCGGGGGAAAGTGGGAAAAGCGCGGAGCTGGTTTCCCCTGCAGCCAGGTGCTCCGGGGACGTAGATGGAGGGGCGATAGTGGGTTAACAAACAAAATAATGAAGCAACAGCTCCACCATACAAACGATCCAAAGGCCGCGCACCGTGAACAACAAAAAAATATATAAAAAAAAAAAAAAAATGGTCACGGGATATACGAGTCTGCATTCCGCCGGATGTTCTAAGCGAATGAGCGATAAGCTGGAGAGTGGAATCTGCTGTTTGTGGAGATTCAAAAACGGTTGAAAAAAACTTAAACATCACTTTAATAGATTGGCATTTGAAAAGGTGGCAAACATCTAAAGTGCCTTTAAGTGGCCACTTGTCAAACAAATCGGAAATTAAATTAAAAGACAATCGTATTTACACAACAAATATGTACTTCATTTGCTTGAAAATATCCCTTCAACTTTAAACCTAAAGTGCGTTTAAATTGCTGTTCAATATTGATTTAAAGGGCACACTAATAAAGTCTCATTTATGTAGATGTGTAATTTATAAATAAATTCAATTTTTTTTGCTACTGTTTCAATAAATTTAATTCATAAAAATGTAACACAAAAATGAACAATTTCAATGCGCCTTTGAAAAACATTTTGCGTGGTAAATTTTTTTTTACATTTTTTTAAATCGACTAGAAACGAGAAAAAATATTTTCACAACATTCTGGTTTCACATCTGCTTTGTTTTACGTATTAGAAAAATAAACAGAAATAAGTTTTCGATGAGATTAGCTCTTAGCCACTTTATTTTTACAAAAGCTTGTGCCCTTTGTTTTGAAAGTTTAACGACAAACCCATTTGTGTTATTGGAAAACTATTTGTAAAGGGAATTACCAAATCCGAAATATGTTGTGAACTGAATGAGTTTTGTTTCCTGTTCTGCTTGTTTGTTGTGGTATGAACAAAAGCTTTATACAGGCGTAATCTGGATAAAAATCAGATTATCTGTATGGGGTTAGATCTTCAAATTCGACCTTCGCCTACGTTTGGCCACAATGCGTCTCGATGGGTCGAAGGTCACTCAAATTCAAGCGTTAATGACAGAAACAAGGGCCTCGTGTTGTGACAGGCAAACACAACGCAGCTCGGATTTTGGCTTTCAGAATGGTGATGTCAATTGTCCATTTACCAGTCCCCTTTTCGGGAAATTTCTTTGGGCTATTGCTATACTCCTTCCGGCCAGGATATGCTTGGATCGTCAAGAATAGCCAGGTGCTGAGTGATTGATTCAATGTTCTCTGCATTTATTTATTTTTTTTTAAGTGTTAAAAACGACTGTGGGTTAAAAAGGATGAACGAAAAGAAGATTCAGCACTTCTAAGACCATAACTTAATTAATTTTTATCCAAATGTGAATTTAGTTAACTTTTTATTTTTGCGTAGATTTTTTTTTTAAATTTTTGTGATTCAACACATAATAATTATGACAATAATAAAAACTGTATATTTTGAGCTTTTTTTGATAGCTTATATAAATAGGAATTAATGCTGCATTAACAAACAATATGCTTTGTCTGCCAAGCTCAGCAAATATTTTGAGATGTTTGCCCACACGGCGTCAAAAGGAACTGGGAGCTGTCAGTGGCACAACATGCGAACCATCACTCCGAAGAACACGTCGAATTGAGTTTGGTCAGAGCCACATTTCGGGGGAATTTTGAGGGTCTGGGCATCATTAAATTGGATACGGAGACCACAGGCGAAAGCCACTGTGCACTGGTTGCCTCCGGAGCAATTGCACTGGATGCGTCCGTCAATCAGGCAACAATTGGGTAAATCAGGACTCCGTGCAGGACCGAGTCCTTCCAGGACGCGCCGTCGGAATGGCTAAGCAGGTTGTTTGCCCCATTTGTTGCTGATGATTTGGATGCATCCTTGCACTATTCGAATCTGTTGGGGGCCTCCACCTGGCTCCATTCAATTATGGCCGATGGAGAGAGGCGGGAGTCTGACGGGGAATCAGGTGACTCGTGGCTCGGCATATTGATATTTGTCTGACGGACAATTCTGCCTTCGCAGTTTACACTTGAGAAATCAAACGGAATCCCCGACAAATGTCGTGCCATCTGATCCCAGTGACAACCTGTAAAAGAAAAAAAAAACTGTAAAGTTACGAGGAAATCCCGAGAAAAGCAAAGTTCAAATTTCGATTTATTTTCGCCAGCTTGAAATTTCTTTGGCTATTTGTGTAGCGCTTTTGTTGGCTTCTCATCAAATGGCAAACGAGTCAGGCCAAATCAAGGAAAGTGTGAGAAGTTAAAGCCTTGACCTGCTTCCTATCCAACAAAAAAAGTAGAGAAAAGAGGCGGTAAATCCCTTCGCTTGCTGCACGTATCGAAAGTCACCGGAATGTCCTGCAAAACACACACACACACACACACACAAACAAACAACCAGGGACGCCCGAAATCCTTTAGTCAAGTTTCCCAGGATGGCGAATTTATTCCACTCGGTGTGCTCGACAACGTCGTGTGCTGCAGATTAGCTTTGTATTTTGTCACAGGAAATTACATTGCGCCTTAAGGATGCCGTGGCGCAAAAATTTCGTTTCATTGTTTGCGCGTTTGTAGTTGTGTGCACCGCCGACTGAGGGCCCATCCTGCTGATCCTGGACTTTGGACTCTGGTTCGGGTCCTGTGAAAAGTCCATACTAGAGTCTGATTTTCCCAGTGCCATTCCTCGCCCTTCACTGTGGGAACTTTAAGAGTCCTTGAGCTCGAAAATGATTCTTAACTAAGGAATGATTTGTAGATGAAAATTGAATATCTAGGTAAAACTAGGGTTATAAACTACAAAATAATAATATCATACAAAACATTGAAAATTAAATACCTGACTGTTTTAAATAATAGTTAATAAAAAGTAAATAAAAAAAAACCATTTATATTTATTCATTATCGGATATATCAAGCAAAGAATTGTATATTGCTTAGTTTAAGAACCCTAAGCCTTTTTCTCTCAGTGTAGCTCTCAGGTATGCTCCTTTACCATCTTTCCTCTAATCGTGAGTACGTGTGCAACTGAAGTTGGTGTGTGCTCTTGGATTGGGGAACACGGAGAATCCTGGCAAGTGTCCACCTGCCCACTGCCCTCCATTCCTGCCCCATTAGTTTGTACATTAGTGCGCAGCTCACAAAGCCAACACTTCCTGTGCGGATGAGTCTATGCGAATGTGACGCACTGTTG